CTTCCCATCCGTGTTGATAAAATCAGAACATCTAAGAAAGGTGCTTGATCTTTTAATTGTAAACATCACAGCTTAAGGCATGACAGAGTGCGCGTGTGTTTACGTGCAAATGCGACAAAGGTGCAGGGCATATGTAGGCCTACAGTCTCGTACCCAGAGGTTGATAAGTGACTAGACAAAATTTTCAGGAACGAGTCCCCAGGCCACATAGGGTCAGCCAAAATAACACTGTTTACAGCTGTTTCAAAGGGGGGGGTCTCTTTCTCAAAAAGTTAGTTGATTCAACTAGAGAATTGACCAGTAGACCAAATTTTGCTTCAAAGAAGACCCTTTCCAGCCAAAAGAGCTATTTTTTCACCTCACCCCCTGCCTACGGAACTACAGATAAAAGACTCCGAGAGAGATTTCGGCCAATGAAGCACCTGTCTCCCCGAGCCAATTCAAGGCATGGTTTGGACTCATTGTTGTGATATGCAATTTGTGACTGAAAGAGGGGGGTATTTTACTTAACCTGATGTCTTTTTCGTCCACCAGACTAATAAATGTGATGTAAAATAATTAAACACAATGACAAAAATGAGGGGAGGGGTGTGTTCAGGTAGCTCTTGTTCGCCAGCATATCCTGATTGTGCTAGATGTGATAACACATTGTGGCATACTTACTGCATTGGTGGATGTGGTGTGATTGGTGGCTCAGTTTCTTCTCTTAGAAATTCAAGAGCGAGTGACATTGACACAAGCCTTCTTTGTGACTGAAAAGTAAACTGCGTGTCACGAAACTGCTCTTTAAATGCACATGGGAAATATTGTTCATTATCATTGGCAAGGAGGGGGATTTCACAAAACTTTATTTTATTTAAACAAAGAAAGATAAAGAAATGCTTTGAAATCATGCAATACTGTGGAACTTTATGTATCAAAATCCGAATTTTCCTGAAAGTTAGCAGTTATCTTCTTATCGCCAAGGTATATCCTTTCAAAGCCCGGTGAGAAAATTACGATATTTCAACCCGTTTTCGAGTTTTAAATTTCTCATTTTTACTTTTACACAGACTCTCTATTTTGGGGGGCTGGACTAGGTTAATTGAATACTGAATGTTCACCACTCTCGTATACATTCAACTATAAGACGGCAAATTAGCCTTTTTCATCTTTTCCGGAAATNTTCAAAGGGGGGGGGGTTTCTTTCTCAAAAAGTTAGTTGATTCAACTAGAGAATTGACCAGTAGACCAAATTTTGCTTCAAAGAAGACCCTTTCCAGCCAAAAGAGCTATTTTTTCACCTCACCCCCTGCCTACGGAACTACAGATAAAAGACTCCGAGAGAGATTTCGGCCAATGAAGCACCTGTCTCCCCGAGCCAATTCAAGGCATGGTTTGGACTCATTGTTGTGATATGCAATTTGTGACTGAAAGAGGGGGTATTTTACTTAACCCGATGTCTTTTTCGTCCACCAGACTAATAAATGTGATGTAAAATAACTAAACACAATGACAAAAATGAGGGGAGGGGTGTGTTCAGGTAGCTCTTGTTCGCCAGCATATCCTGATTGTGCTAGATGTGATAACACATTGTGGCATATACTTACTGCATTGGTGGATGTGGTGTGATTGGTGGCTCAGTTTCTTCTCTTAGAAATTCAAGAGCGAGTGACATTGACACAAGCCTTCTTTGTGACTGAAAAGTAAACTGCGTGTCACGAAACTGCTCTTTAAATGCACATGGGAAATATTGTTCATTATCATTGGCAAGGAGGGGGATTTCACAAAACTTTATTTTATTTAAACAAAGAAAGATAAAGAAATGCTTTGAAATCATGCAATACTGTGGAACTTTATGTATCAAAATCCGAATTTTCCTGAAAGTTAGCAGTTATCTTCTTATCGCCAAGGTATATCCTTTCAAAGCCCGGTGAGAAAATTACGATATTTCAACCCGTTTTCGAGTTTTAAATTTCTCATTTTTACTTTTACACAGACTCTCTATTTTTGGGGGCTGGACTAGGTTAATTGAATACTGAATGTTCACCACTCTCGTATACATTCAACTATAAGACGGCAAATAAAGGTGAACTTGATCGTTTTCGGAGGTCAGACGAGAAAACCTTAGTTCAGGCTTGTTTTTCATGCTTTTTCATTATGCCAACCTTTATCAGACCACATAAAAAAACATTTTTTTACTCCTACTTTACCCTCTACCAGGGCGACAGATTGATTTTTCACAGATATTCACAGATATGTCTCCAGATAAATAGACAGTCATTTTGGTCTGGGTTTTCTTTTTTTTCCCTATATAATCTGCCACCCTGGTAGAGGGTACTCCTACTTCACGTTATACGGCATACTGTACGCGTTTGAAAATTTTCCAACGACCCTTTGTCTACATATCTTACAAAGCTATTTATCTTTTCCAATCCAGACCTTAAAAACTATTCAAAAAAAAAAAAAAAAAAAAAAAAAACTCAAATAAAAGTACCCTACTTCGTCAGTTCCTTCTGAAATGTTATAAAATACATGAATAATGGAATAACACATCGAACCCACGTGCATGGACGGATCGAGCTATGTTTCGTGAGTAGAAAAAAATAGCTTTTTCCTCGATCACAAGGAAAAATTCAACTTGGCGGGTATAACCCGTATAGTCATGAACTAGATGTGTTGAGGGTTGACTTTTCCATCAAACTTTGTACAAAAGGTAGTGGTCAATTTATGCAAACGACAAATAACTAATTACTGCATGGGGCACGAAAGATGACGTTTCTGTTAAAATATAACGTTGCCAGGAAATAATCAGAATAAATAAATACCTAAACCACTATTTCTTTCAGGTTTTGGCAGTACTTTTAGCTACCTATGTGTCGTCTGGCTACAATATTTTTCACAAATTCAGTTGACCTGTACAACTGTACTTACTTTGGGGTATCCACATCTGGCAGGATTGCGCCAATTGCTAAATGGATCTTCGCGCGACGGCTCCATAGTCTTGGTTCCTCGAAGCAAAATGATGCATCAGGAAAGGTTTTAATGAAGAAATACAAGCGAATTTTCTATTTTCGTCAATTCTGACTTAGTTACTATGCCTACATCCAATTAAGGGCCACATGCAATTAGTTAAGAGCGTGCACAGGTTTGAATATTCGCAAGTAGTTTCCTGAAACTCTGACAAATGTGTAAATCTTCTGCATCATATCCTATTTCCTATAACATAATGATTGTCATCCTCTATTCCATTTTTCACCGCCTATTTCATATAAACACGGACAAAGGAGTCAAAAAACTTCGTAAAATTAAAACCATACATTTTGCGTTCCATACTGTCTTTTTACCATGTCTTTCAATGGCATGTGATAATACATATGTAACTCAGTTATAATCTTATTTAATGGAATCAGACGGTAACTCCAGTGTCTTTTCAATAATCTAACTCTGTTCAAGCCAGCAAATTATAGTATAAAGTAAAGGTTCAAAACGACACAAAACGTTGGCAGGTCTCATGAAGGTTAAAATTATAAATATTAAATATTATTGTTAAATATTAAAATTTTCCTACAACTCAAAACTGCAAGCTTTGCGAACCTGACCTACCTTCTTGATGAAAAAACGAAAAATAATCTATGGCTCTTTTGTTTTAGTCTCTAAGTAAAGAATAACTTAGTTTTATCTTTCTATCGAGAGGTCATGAAAATCTTATTTCATAAGATCCTAATCAATTCTTATATTTGACGTATTTGAACTGGTGCAAATTATTGCAAATAATTTTGATTGGGCGTACATTGATAAAATACAGTAGCGAATGTAGAAGTATATGGATAGAAGAATACTGACAATCGTCTTAAAATACATTTCGAGCGTAACAGTTGCAAAATAAAATGTCATGAGTGTAGCAACCAAACGCCTTTTGAATTCTTTGCAATTAGTAATTACAGGTAAAACCGTGGGTGAAACAATTAAAGGCACAGTTCTGAATAAGAGAAAAGAGAAATCAGAATTTGTTAAATTGAATACATCTTTCAGTTCCCCCTATACAGAGTTTTTGTTACGCAAGTAAGGAGGTGAGTCTCTATTGACGGTTTGGAATTCCGTCGTCTTCTCGTCTTCAAAAATCACAGAATATCTACGCAGTACTCACCACTACGTACGGTGTGTTCCATTTAGCTTCCTTGTTGACGGAGCTCCGGTTATTGTCATCAAATTCTATTCCAATGTGCACTGCAAGTGCTGCACTGAGATTCTGAGTAATATTTCTTTTAGATATGGAAGAGTTCAACATAAAATGTTTTAAATATCTGAAAGTTTTATTACAAATAAAAAATATTCCGACAATAGTGTTCCAACCAAAACATATTTTATTTATTACACGAAACAATGTATGGAATGTATCACTGAATAGTTTGATACTGATCACTCAAACATAAAATGTCGAAACCTCAGCGGTAGACATTCTTTCTAACAAGTATGGTGTACTATGTGGACCCAATAAGTTATACATCCTGTATGTATACATATCTAACATAAAACACAGGCCCGTACGCAGGCGATGTTTCTTTTTTTTTTTTTTTTTTTTTGGGGGGGGGGGGGGTTCGAAATTTTGACCAGGAAAGGTCTGCTCTGAATAGAAATTTGATAAAGATCCAATAATCAAGTAGAGTCAACTAATGGGGTAAAAAGGTTCACATTTTCATGAAAAGTCCTGAAACATATTATTTTATGTCACAATTCATTAAAAAAAGATTTCTCACATTTTTCTATGAGTGCTACATAACCCTGGTGAAATGCAATCATTTACCATTGGCATAAAATAGGACGGACATTTGCTTGCTACGAAGAGATTCACATCAAACAAGCACACACTCAACTATGCAGCAGTTACTGCAAAATTAGACATCTACATGTATTTAAGGTCGCATTCAGAACAGTGGACTAACAAGTCCACGGGTCAAATATGGATGACCCACTTGAATACTTCCCCATGGGGAATCTATTCAGTGTCTATTAGCGGATTAGTCGGCAAGCTTTTTAGTGGGTCGCCATATTTGAACCACAGAATAGTTAGTCCACTGTTCTGAATGCGGCCTAACAACTTGAAGTAGTAGTGTTTTAATTCTGGATAATGTTTTTTGTTTGTTTTTACAGTCAAAACAACCTGATGTTCTCTCTCTCTCTTTCTCTCTTTTTCCTTGCCCAAGTGCAGAAACTAAAATGCCATTTTGTTCTTGAAGTTGATGTGCTGTATTATTACTGTTGTTGTTAGCCGTGAACTGAAGTTAGTGTGTTGTACTGGTACTGCTGTTGTTAACTATGGACAGCATTTCCATCCACATGCACCTGATGTATTGTAGCAAAGTGGTCGTAGCCAGACTGTATGGTAAACTTGAGGTGCTGGGCTGTGAGGTTACCCCCACAATGAATCTCTTCTTCTTGTAACTGCCCATCTGTCGACTCTACATCTGAAATACCAACAGTTTAATCATTATCAGCCTCTAAGGGTACATTAACTATGAATATTTCACACTAGCTAGTGCACACTAACTGAATGCAATCAGGGTCCCGTAACTCGAAAGCAACCCGCATTGCGACCGAGCGCAAGCGTCTTTATTCTGTAACCATACTTGCCCTATATAATACACTGTAGCCTCTATGTGATATTGCTATTCGCAACACTCAATGCTTTCGCGTTACGGGGCCCAGATTAACAGATAAACATGCCTCCTCTAATTTTCAATGTACTCGTACAATCCCCAGCTTTTCTGAATTTTACTCAATTATACTCAATGCCTGTTAATGTAATTGCATTCAGCAAGAGTCTCCATGGAATTAATACACACTAGCTAGTACAATAGCTTCATTGTGAACACACCCTAAGACAACAAGCTTCATCATTACACCTGTAATGGAAATTTTTCAAACCGACAAGAATATATATATCAGTGTTCTATCTACACTAATGACTAGCAGGAACTTCTAATAATCCTAAGGATATGTTAGCAAATTCATTAGTGGCCAATATGTATTAACAATTTAACCTACAATGGGGGCCAACTTTGTATGTTCTAACTAGTACTGATTGCACAAAAATCTCAAGGAACATCCAAAATACACAAAGCTGATAAATCCCAGTGTTAAACCTTCAGTAATGTTTGTAAGTTTCTCGTGTTCAAGATAACAGGAAAGGTTTGAATTGGAAGGGGGGCAGCTTTTCTAAGAGCTATTTTAACATGATAAGAATTGTAAGGTAATAATCATGGGATATCTATAATTTTTCAAGAAGGAGGGGGGAGGCACAGATGGATTAACCTATCATGTGAGATAATGACTATAAAAATTCTCGGAAGCCAGAGGAAGATATGAAGGTTTCATAGTTGTGAGAAAAGACCTTTAGACGAGAGAGACAAAAAAGGAAAACAATTAGTTCCTAACAGATTGACTCATGGATCATATATGAAGAACACAGTCATCAAGACTGGAAATCTAAAACTGAGATTAGATTGAGCTAATGAGACAACACTTTTCTTGCATTTCTTTCCATATAAGAAATAGCCAACTTATGATAAATTTCTAAACTAAAACAAACATAAGATTCACTGTTAACAAACAGATATACAGGGCAATTTTTTATCTTATCTTTCTTTGTTTATTTCTATATTTAATATTGTACTTTATCTTATTTATTGAATTATTTATTTTTGCTTTCAGTTTTCTCCAGCATTTTAAGACTGCATCTGATCACTGATCTTTTAAAACAATAGTAAATATGGAATACTTTCTTTAATTTGAAAGTATCACTTTCTCCTCATCATGCTATGCATTCATTTTAACCTTTAATTTCTTACCCTATAATTTGCAGGGAGTATCCCCCTCCACCTCACATCCCAATCTTTCTAAAAATCATGCATGAGACTTTTTACCACCCAAAAAGTTGGAAATCTGCTGTTAGTAAGAAAAATATCATTACTGTTACACCACCACCGTCTTCCAAAAAGTCAAAAATCTGCCATTAGTCTGAAAAATCTCATCTCTGATAAATGCAGAAAAGGACGCAGTTATATTTCATATCAATAATTAATAATCAATAGGTATATGAGAAGGTGGACAGCAAATTTCTTTAAGTTTACATCTTGCTACACTTCATGAAGTGAGGTTAAAAAGTAATATAATGTATATATCTATACAGATCATCATCATTTGATCCACTTCTGTACATAACAAAGCTCTTGTTTAATTTCAGAAGTGAAGACCTTGGTTATCAAAGTTGCCATGGTAATGGATTTGGGCCTCTAATTAAATATCTAATGAGGTAGCAACCAGTTAACAACACAGCATACTACTCTTTCACCCCATTTCCATAGATGTTTAGATCGATCTATCCCTGTGGGGAGTCTCACTAGATTACTGTCAGCTTGGCCGGCTTAAGCGTCTGTCCCGCCTACTAAAAGCTGAAAGGGGGTAATTAACTATGGTGCCCGCTTGGCTGACTGCAATTTAGCGTGAACCCCCATGGAGTTAGGTCGATCTAAATCTTAATATCTAGATCGATCTAAATCTCTGGGAAAGCACGCTTTGTGTGCTATGACAGAGTCATAAGAAAACACCATGGATAATGCTATTTGTTTTCAACAACTCTCTCTTTCTCTGATCAACCTTTGCTAACTGTGGCATATATCAATTCTGTATTCCCTTAAGTGCATCATTTTTGTATGTACAAATAAAGTAAAAAATAGATAGCAGACAAAATGTTTCTTACCTTTTTCCCGAAGCAATTCAAATTCTGTGGGTTCATTTGACACACTCCTTCCCACTGTAATTTTCCTAACTGAAAATATAAAATGTGATTTCTGCATACTCGATTACTACACAATGGATCGGATCACAGATTGCATTATCTTTTACAAGCAAAAACATCGAATATCATAAAGGGGACAGTAGATATTCAAAAGACCTAAAATTTAAACCAAACTATCAATGAGTGAATTTTTAACCAGTGCAATATGCAAGTTCAGTAGTTGACTAACAGACTTTTATTTCATTTTTAACTTTGCATTTTAGTTATTTGTTTTAAATTTTTTCACATATGTCTTTTAATATTCGGATATTCCTTTATTCTTATTCACTAGTGGTTTTATTAAACTATGATTCAAAGAATGTATTTATCCAACCCTTGGGATACAAATTTGATAAAAATAATAAAATAAATAAACAAAACAGGTGATAAAAGACAACACAAATGATAAATTATAACTATACTTCAAGAGATACTAATATGGTTTATTCAAAATCTGTTTTACCTGGGCACTTACCATTAAAACTTTGAATCCTGACAGTGTTGATATTCATTAGTGCTTGAAATGTGATAACAAATTCTTGGGGATACAGTCCAGTTGTCACCCAAAAAGTGTCTTGACTCCTGAAAAAGATAAACCAAATGCTTAAGTATTTTTTAAATTATTTAAAAATGGTTGATGAATTACATTATATCATTTAATTACATACCCCCAAATATCCTCTACGTACATGTGCAGAAAGCAGAAAGTATGACCTTGTAATACAAAATACATATAAAACCATTAAAGTGAATTCAGTCGGCAGGGCGTCCTCAGTACATTTACAACATGAATAGGTCCATTCTAATATAATATTAATGTATTTCTACTACTTTGATATCCTCTGGTTAGTTATCAGTGTGACCCCACCTCCAACCCAATCAGATATATAAAGCAGGAAGATTGGAGCCCATCAAAACCTATGAGTTCAGAAGGGATATAAACTCTAGAGAATATTTGCTTCAACTTCCAAGTTCAACTTTCGACTAAATATCATCATGAAATATCGGGGACCAGTTTAATTTAACCAGCATGAAGAATCTTACCCGTCTATGATATTTTCAGGGGGATATTCCTCGTCTGCTGATGTTGCCAGAACCACCTGGGCTCCAGCCTTTGACGAAGCCACATCAAACATTGTGCATAATATTTTGAGAGAATTATTGAGTGAGTGTTGCACTTGTGTTTAGGTTTACAGTCTCGTAATGTCTCGTATTGTTCACGAGATTTGGGTTGTCAAGAGGGAAAGGAAAAATCGATGGTCCTACGTGGTCCTAGACCGTTCTTACCTTTCTCAACGCGATTTATAGTTATTCATCTCTAAACTGGGAGTTTTTTTNATCGGATCACAGATTGCATTATCTTTTACAAGCAAAAACATCGAATATCATAAAGGGGACAGTAGATATTCAAAAGACCTAAAATTTAAACCAAACTATCAATGAGTGAATTTTTAACCAGTGCAATATGCAAGTTCAGTAGTTGACTAACAGACTTTTATTTCATTTTTAACTTTGCATTTTAGTTATTTGTTTTAAATTTTTTCACATATGTCTTTTAATATTCGGATATTCCTTTATTCTTATTCACTAGTGGTTTTATTAAACTATGATTCAAAGAATGTATTTATCCAACCCTTGGGATACAAATTTGATAATAATAATAAAATAAATAAACAAAACAGGTGATAAAAGACAACACAAATGATAAATTATAACTATACTTCAAGAGATACTAATATGGTTTATTCAAAATCTGTTTTACCTGGGCACTTACCATTAAAACTTTGAATCCTGACAGTGTTGATATTCATTAGTGCTTGAAATGTGATAACAAATTCTTGGGGATACAGTCCAGTTGTCACCCAAAAAGTGTCTTGACTCCTGAAAAAGATAAACCAAATGCTTAAGTATTTTTTAAATTATTTAAAAATGGTTGATGAATTACATTATATCATTTAATTACATACCCCCAAATATCCTCTACGTACATGTGCAGAAAGCAGAAAGTATGACCTTGTAATACAAAATACATATAAAACCATTAAAGTGAATTCAGTCGGCAGGGCGTCCTCAGTACATTTACAACATGAATAGGTCCATTCTAATATAATATTAATGTATTTCTACTACTTTGATATCCTCTGGTTAGTTATCAGTGTGACCCCACCTCCAACCCAATCAGATATATAAAGCAGGAAGATTGGAGCCCATCAAAACCTATGAGTTCAGAAGGGATATAAACTCTAGAGAATATTTGCTTCAACTTCCAAGTTCAACTTTCGACTAAATATCATCATGAAATATCGGGGACCAGTTTAATTTAACCAGCATGAAGAATCTTACCCGTCTATGATATTTTCAGGGGGATATTCCTCGTCTGCTGATGTTGCCAGAACCACCTGGGCTCCAGCCTTTGACGAAGCCACATCAAACATTGTGCATAATATTTTGAGAGAATTATTGAGTGAGTGTTGCACTTGTGTTTAGGTTTACAGTCTCGTAATGTCTCGTATTGTTCACGAGATTTGGGTTGTCAAGAGGGAAAGGAAAAATCGATGGTCCTACGTGGTCCTAGACCGTTCTTACCTTTCTCAACGCGATTTATAGTTATTCATCTCTAAACTGGGAGTTTTTTTCAGTAAATTGGCAATTATAAGTGGGGCAAAAGTGTATGTTTATTCTGCCCCTTTTCTGCTTTATTTGGCTTTTTTGCGTGTGCATTCCTTCGCAAACATCGGGACGTGCGTGGAACCAAGCCTTGGAATCCTAACTAATCTCTTGAGTAAACTGATCATGACTGACCTGTACTTGTGTTGCTCTGTAGTGCGTGTATGACCGTGTTTTAGCACTGTGTTATCAACCGGTGCAGATTGTGCTATTTGTTCCTGTTATTTTTAATGAGTCGGTGGAGGAAAAGTAGCCTAGCCTGTTCATACTAAGAGTAAAAATTGTTCACAATAAGGTCGCGCGACAAGGTTATTTTCAGTTGCACTCTGGATTACGCACGCTTGCTCCGCAAGGTGTCGCCTGTGGAGGGGGGGGGGGGCAGCACAGCCCATGTGGTTACTGTGACGAAGGTGACAAGTACTTCCGAATATTTTTCATAACTGTCATTATTCCTCATTCTATTCACAAATTTGATATTTACGGCAATGGAGAATGTGGCACTGGCAAAAGTGGGTCTAGGTGCGCACAGGTGTCCCCAACATTAACCGCTGCCAGAGAATCCCGAAGCATTAAACTACACAACCTGTAGATATTGGAAATTTGGCCAAAGTTAAGCAAATGAGGCTTTATTAGATTTGGGTAGAAATAGAGAGGAATGTCCAGTGACATGCCAACCCCCAAACACCCCATTTCCATAGATTAGATCGACCTACTTTAGATCGACCTAACTCCCTGGGGGTTCACGCTAAATAGCTGTCAGCCGGGCGGACACGAAAGTTAATTACCCTCTTGCAGCTTGTAGTAGGCGAGACGGACATTTAAGTCGGATTATCAGAATCTGAAAGTAATCTAGTGAGACTCCCCGCGGGGATAGAGTGATCTAAAATCTATGGGAACAGAGCCTTAGTTTAAGTCTTGGCCTTTGACACCTGTAACGCACACTTAGTCAAGAATCTGAACAAATCAACGTTGGGCAGGTATGCTTTGTTTTCTACCGGCGTTTTTGTGATTTTATCAACTTGATTGTCCAGTGCCAGACCTTTTGTTCCCAGTAACTAGTAGCAAACTTTATCAGATAACAATCTGACACTAACCACGCTGTACTAACAGCGCCGTAAACCCAGTTATCAATGCTGTCATCTCTACCTGTATCTCTACCGGTATTATACCAGTGGTACGTCCGATATATATATCAGTAAGGAAATATGCTGTGATGCTTATATTTATTTGTAATACGTTAGCATCAACCTGTTCATAAAAACTTGGAACCTTTCAGTATTATTACACAATAACAGTATATTGACATCATGGGAGTTGTTATGATTAAATGCTTATAAGAAATAATAAAAACAGATTACGTAAAATAAAAAAAATGAATTAATTTTATTTGAGTTATTTTTTTTCAAACCAATTAATTATCAAACATGAATATTATTTTCAGAAACATCAACATATATTACTGCATTATAAATCTGCTGGTACACAAATGTACAGTTCTAAAATGCAAATACCAAGTACCTTTCACACACAAATGATGAGATGTAAATAATCATATGTATAAAGTAGTAAAAATTTCACAAAATGTGTGTAGGCAAGATATTTCTACAAGTAACCTCATTAATCAGTCAGGAAACCTCATAATGCCCTCAATAAATGTAGAAATTTGAGCAAGAGAAATTCTACATACATGTGTACAGGCATGACAGATTTACCATATATTGCCACCAACCTCAAACTGAATGGGCATTTTAAAGAACAAAGTGAGTTAAAAATGAATAAGTAATGAAAACAGATACTGTCATTCTTAATACTGAAAAACAATGGCACTTTGCAGCCTTCACTGCCTCACTATTTGCAAACAATGTTCTAGTCACTGTCACTGTGTACTTTTGATGAGGCATAGATGCAAGGATAACTCCTTTGAATTATATTGTGGAGGTCTTTTTTGTCATCAATCTGACACATATAACCTGAATGTACATATTGCAATTCACACCGCAGCGGCTTGTCTTAGTAAGGACTCAAACAGTTGAAAACTTGTGGCACAGTTTCAGGGACAGGATCACACAAACTACCCTTGCAGTGATGATGGATCTACTAGTGCATTATCTATGTCTTGTCCTCCTAGTTTCTCTAATACTATTTCCCCTGATCTATGCTCACATCAATCTCTACAGCTTCACCAACTTCTACGCAGTTTTTGCATCTGAAAGTATAAAGCAAAAATGTAATAAAGCACTATCAATTTACTTGTTATATATTTATATTTCAGGGCGAGAGAAAAAAGGCTGAAACCGCATATCATAATCAATATAATTGAAAATCAAATATGTATAATCAAATAGCTTTAATTGCACATACTAGTGATGATTTAATCTTTTAAAATTCAGCATGAATTTTGACTCTCTCTTGTTAAAGCATGGCCACTTTATCAAAATGTGCTTGATCAAATAATAATAATGATAATAATAATAACCTGCACACATGATGTAATGGTCAACTGCCACAAAAATGAGTTGATATGTACTTGGTAGCCTGAGAAATAATATCAGGTATTAATTTGAGCAGCAATAATAGCAATAATACCACAGAGTTATCAACGACACAAGCATATGATATGGTGTTATATAGCAAAATTTCATGCATAACTTGCTGTCGCCGTGTCCTCCTCAAACTATCGTGCACATCAGCTTTTGATTTTCAATGTCATCAAAATGTTACATTGTTGTTAGTAAGATCTGTGTATCTGCTATTCAAATAGTATCATTTGGAAAATAACTTAAAAATTTAATTATGCTTTTGCAACACGAAATTATCATTAACTTTGCCGGTTCACGTGTACACAGTACCTTGCTATCAATGCTGCTCTTTTCTCCCCAACTCGCCACTGACAGGCTAACCACATCGTTCCAAAACAAAGTTGGCATGATCCTTTACTTTTGGTGTTGGCAGTTTCTCCCCGGTAACATCGTCTTCGGTTAAAAACAACGTATCGTATTCACCCATCTTTGCATTGCTCCTGTACAAAATGTCCGCTTGCTGCCCCCCAAGGGAAAAATCGTAGCACGTGGCTAGTAACGCAAGACCTGTGACGTATAACGCGCGCGACCTTATTGGCCATGGGAAATATATAAATTACAACCGAATTCTTACGATGTTGTATGGGCAGTCGCTGTAGGCCTACACCAAACATTCACATGCTGAAGCATAAAAAAGAACATAATAAAAGTGAATAAATACGAGGTTGTAGGCATACTCAGTGGCCGATTTGAGGGGAGGGGAGGTTCAGGGGTTTTTTGCCCCCCCCCCCCTTCAATATCTGAAAAAAATCACACAAATGGTCCCCTCTTGAATATAGAATTTTGACTAGCTGAATCATAGTTCTAAACCGTACCTAATGGCACCGCTCGCCCTGTAAAATACCAAAATTTTTCGGGGCCCTTTACCGGGCCCCGAACCCCATGCCAAGGGGGGGGGGGGGGTCGGCTTCGCATCTGTGACCCCCCTCCCCCCTTCAAATAATCCTGGATACGCCCCTGATACAGACAAATATTTGGACCACGAATGGAAAATAGTTTATTTCATGCTTATTTTACTGTCAGTAGGGTAGCCTACGTGTATCCCCTTCCTATTACAATAGCCCCCCTATTCAGTGACAAGCAAACTTAAATCGCTAAAAAATTAATTGCTCTATACAGAAGATTCTCATAATTTTTTCAAACGTTATGCTTGAAGGAGATAAATTAAAGAGCAAAACCAGTGGTGACCGAATTTTCAAAGAGATTATTAAAAACGTTTTCACAGCTGGACGTTTTAGCCCCATTCACACCTACATGGTTAATCGAGATTAAGGGAATCGCGATTCTAACGCGCTTAGCTAAATTCACTTTTTTGCGTTCACACATGTAAAAACGAAATCGCGATTTACCTTGCTGGATCTGGTAATTGCAACTGCGCTCCCTAGGGGAGTCACGGTATATCCTGTTGATCATGCGCAGTAGCTGCCTTCAAGACCATGCTTTCGGTGTGTACGGTGTTATTTTCTGTTTAATACTCTCATCTGCCCAAATATTTAGTTATGCTGCCACTGAGTTTTCAGACCAGTACGTCCTCGTGGCCATTTTGCTGACTGCTAAGAAACTTGAAATTGCGTGGACAGTTTCTTTTCTTTCACTTTCCAGTCGGCGAATAGATGTATTTAGCTAATGTTTCGTTTCAATAAAGGGAACCGGAGAAGATCAGCATTGGTCAGAATTGTGCCGGAAGTGACGTGCAGTGGTGTTAGAAACGAAGCTGAGTGGTCATTTTAACATAGAGGTGAACGGCAGTGAAGACGGGTTGTCGGAGGAAAAAGAAGTTTTCTAAACAACATGGTAAGATAACTCTCTTTTTTTACGCATTTTGGGCAGAGAAAACTTGTAGAAATAATAAATGCATGATATGAAAACGTGACACGGAACTTCAAGGTGCAAAATCGTGCTTAATCCGGGTCAACTTGTTAAGAAAAAAATGCTGCGTCGACCGCCAGCGCGACAAAAAGCGTAAAGGGGAAATAATTCCCGGGAGTCTATAAATCGTTGTCATGTGGAAATTTGGCATTAATATAATCCGATATGTCCATATCTAAGTATTTTTGGGTGTTTTATGGTATGGGCTGCAATTACAACGATGTTTTAGAGGTCTTGAAGGACCTTGTGAAAACCAGGAAGTAGTTCGTAACTAACAAGTGGAATGTACCGATCTCCGACTGCTGTGCACAGCTGTATCGATTTGGCGTCTCGACTGCGTTCACACTAGAAGCTTTAGCCTACATCGATAGAATCGCGATTTGGGCTTAATCGCGATTGAAAGTGTCTCGTGTGAATGGGGTTAGTGTGACAGTAACGTAGGTGTTCTTTTTTGGGGTGAGAAGATTAATTATTTTTTATTATTCATGGTTCCAGGAGACGGTGAAATTTCGATACCAAATCCTTCACGTGGAACCCTAACATAATCAGACATAGTTTGCAATCTGTGCACTTAATATATTTAAGAGCATGCCTGTGACCTCATTTACGCCTAATTGGGATTGGGTGTGTAGCCGGGGCTCATGGGGCGCAGCGCTCGAGGCTGCACCACGACCACACCCAAAGTAAAAGATGTAAAGAAAATAAGGGGGAGTGAATAAAAAAGTGGTCGTATGCGGAATCATCTTCATTACTCAAGGGAGGAGTGATTTTTAAACGAAATGTACTTGAAAGACTTTAAAAAAAATATCTCTGGTTCCGCCTCGTATTAATACGTGTTCTCCAAGCATCCCCCACCGAAATTCATTCGTAGGCCTACTGTACATGTAGCACTGAATGCGCCATCTCGAGTTTGGGCTTGAGTTTGGGCTTGGTTTCTTCTTAACCCCCGACGGTATTTTAACGGAATATTATATCCGTAGAATGGCCCATCTCCCCACTGCCCAGCTTATAAAACAAAATGGTGGTGGTGGGAGGGGGGGGGGGAGGATCCCCAGACACACCGAACCATGTCTCATTCATCATTCACTATTGTACAATTCTGAAAAGTGTAAACGTACGTTAAGGACACAGAATTTTTCTACGAAATAGTCCAATTAAAAAAATTAGTGATAATATGTGCACTTTATAATGGCATTTTATGTAATACTCCTTTCATTTCTCTCCTTTTCCCAGCGCTGATGGCAAAGGAATAAAATGAAAAACTGCGTAAGTATTCCCACGTCCAGTTTGAGTCCAAAGTGTAGAGAAAATATCTGATATCAATAAATATAATCAACATCCAGTTAGACTGATAATTTTTATTACTATATCAGCAATTTCCACCTTTCATTTAGGTGTAACATTAATTGTTACTACATAATTACAAAAATATAATTACTTATTTAGTATTTCAAAAACGAATAAAAAGAAAAATGAGAGTTTGCAAAACTTCGATCGTTTCTAAACATTTCACGTTCCAACTACCAAAAAATGTTGATCGCACAAGGTTATCTGAGGCCGCCGTTTTCTTTCTGTTACATCTTTCCGAGGAGGAATGCTGCGAAGGTGGACATCAGTCCCATAACAAGCAGACTGCTGGACACTGTGCCGCTGCCGTTGCAAAGTTCCCCGCTGCACACACACATAATCCCCTTCAAACCCTGTGCAGTCTGCTCCTGGCAACCATTGGTCTGGCCGGCAACGGCACATGTGCGAGCGACGGTCTGGACTTCTGCAAACAGATAAAATAGAACTTCTGCAGAATTCTGCATTTGTCAAAAACAGACAGTCATGACGATTTCATACAAGCTGTACTGCCTCGACTACTTAAGCGTATTAACTGTCATATCAAAGTATTAAACACACAAGGTATGTCAATATTTTATTTTCAGGTGAAATTTAAGAGACTATCTCTCTCACCTGAAGTCTCAGCCTTGGTTTTAAGACAGCCAGCGGGGCACTCTGTTGTTTTACCCGACTTTGCAGCCTTATCAAACGGGTCGTTACAATTTGTGCATAAGTAACACTTCACTGCGCTAGCTGAAAAAAACATTAATCATTTGTTTTAATGCGCCATTTACTCTCTGTTAAAGATGTAATAAGAAATCCTCGTAGTAGTACTGATAGCCTATGAACATAGTTAAATATGATGATGTTCTAAGCTAGGTTGGTTCGTCGGAATGTGCGTGGAAGGCTGATTGGAAAAATCAGAAGCAATATTGAAGTAAGAGTTGCATGTCTGTTTGAGCCCATTCAGAATAGGGACTAACTAGTCCAAGGGTCAAATATGGCTTTAATGCAGACATTCCTTATCTTAACGGTAGACCTAGACACCGACAGACCACGTAAGACGCTAAATAAAATGTATTTTGCAATAATCATAAAAGCAACCTCCAAAAAAGGCCATCAAACCTTGAATGTTTCTGGGACCATCACACGTCCTAAAACCATTATGCGGTTCAAACTGTGCATCAGAGAATTCGGGCAATTTTTGAAATTGTTTTTCTATATCAATTTAGATATCAAAGGAATCAAAACAGACATTTTACACATTTTAACTAGAGAATCAAAGGGGCGATACCGCCTCCGGGTATTGTACCACCAGCTGGAATAAGCGCATATTCGATTGAAAACAGAAAAGGGACACCACCTCCAGTATTGTACTCAGTACTTGACAAGCTTTACAAAGTGCAGTAATTTTTTGTTGAAGATTACAATTTATAACAAAATCATGGGGAAAGTAAAAGGTAAAATCCGAATTTGTGAAGTGCAGCACATGGCAAAAAGTACGTGAAAGTCAAATTCAAGGTCACAGGAAGTTCAATAGTATCTGTGGGCATATCTTTGCCAGTTTTGAAAATATAAGGGACAGAAAATTTGCCAAGTTCAGTTCATGGTGAAAAAAAAGGCCAAAGGTCAATTTCAAGGTCACAGATAAGTAGGATATGACTTCCTACTCAAGTTCAACAGTGACTATGTGCATATCTCGACCAGTTTAGGAGATATAAGGGACAGAAAATTTGCAAAATTCAGTTCACGGTGAAAAGTAAGTTAAAGGTCAATTTCAAGGTCACAGTTAGCATCCTATTCAAGTTCAATAGTAACTATGGACATATCTCTGCTAGTTTTGGAAATATAAGGGACCGAACATTTGCAAAGTTCAGTTCATAGAAAAAAATATTCCAAAGGTCAATTTCAAGGTCAGAGCTGGATTGTCAGAATATAACTTTCTATTCAAGTTCAATATGGACATATCCCTGCTAATTTTGGAGTTATTTCCGTTTTATTTTCACCACTGAACATTGCGACGTTGTACATTTTGATGTACACCTCGTAAACCGTATGGAAAACAAACTAACAAAAAAACAAACAAACACTACTTCCAGTTGTGTACTTGACAAGCTCTAAGAAATGCAAAAGACAAGAGATCTCTAGCATTTACGGTTCCAGAATTAGAGAAAGGTTTCATTTTTGGCATCTAATGGCTGCTTCTCGCTGCCCATAATATTATAGGTTAGGTCTCTGCAGTTTCTGACAAAAGCCCATTTTTAGAAAATTCTGGCCCGTTTGACCTTGAAATAAAGGTCAAAGGGCAAATCCATGGGCAAATTTGAAATCTCCACATATGGCTTTCGGCCAGCCATCTATATAAATTTTTCCCATAATTCCTTCGGTTTGGGAGATATTTAGCATTTAATTTTGCAAATGTTGGGCAAGGGTGCATTGCGACGAGCACCTAGACCAGTGCACCGACAAAGCCCAAAATTTACGTGGATCGAGTTGAGATTATATGTGACCTAAATCCAAGAGAAGGGTACATAGGCTCTTGAAGTCTAGGAGGAGAAGCGGTAACGGTGACATGGCGGCTGAGCCGGCGGACGAGACAGGTCGGGACTAAAACCATGTGTACTGCCAGGTTAGGTACATAAAAACCAAATCTAGATTTCACCACATATAACATAAAATGAAAACTGATCTATTTAACTGACGTTGTCGTTATTTGGTTCCCACGTACTTTAGACACTATGTTTATTTACAATGGAATTTATTTAAATAAAAGGGACTTTATTTTATTTTATTTTAATTTTTAAATCTTTAAAAGGATAATTCAGTTACTCATTAGAATTAAATTTAGATTCCGTTGTGCTATGGACTGTATAAAGGCGGGAGCAGAACGCCTATGGTTCGGGAAGGACTCCAACGGCAAGCGTTTAATTCGGTGGGCGACGAGGTAAGGAAACCTTATACTTAATTTTCTGATGGAAGTTCATTTGTGTAGTCTGTTGATTATATTTTAAGACTAAACTTTTCATTTTCTATATTAAATTGAAACTGTGCCTTACTCATTTCTTATTTAGTGTAGATAATGAAAGATAAGCTTTAGAAATGATACATAATTCTTCTATTTTTCTACTGCAGTTATGACTTTCAAGGCGTGCACAGGCTTCTTACAGGCCTACTTTTGACGCGCCTCTTGCTAAAGGGGGCTACTTCTTGCAATTTCCACATAACAAACATCCATACACGACAAAACAAAATTGAACTTTAATTTTTATAAGTCTTCCTATTAATTACAACTATAACCTGGAGTCATAAATTTTAGCAAAAGTGTTTTTGTTAACCTTATCATTTTTATCTTTATTTAGTTTTAATAGAATAGTCCACTAAATGTTTATCTAGCATAAAATGTTTTTACTACTTGTATTTTCTTTTATGCATCTTTTTTTCTACAAACCCTATCCTTCTTTTTTTACTCTTTCAGTATATATCCCATAATATTAGCAAAGCATGGCTATTTGCCAAGAAAACAAAAAGTTATTTTTATAAATATATTTATGAGACAAGTAATATCTTAGGTTTATAAGTCTATATGGCAGCTTTACACCTACAAATCTAATGTTTACTCTTGTTGAAAGGTTATTTTCTCTAAAGTAGCATAGTCTGAAGGCTTTCAAACTTACTTGTATCGATAGAAACCCAGCAAACAACGAGCAAAATAGCAACAATGGAAAACTTGGTCATCCTGTCAAGATGGTAAATGAAATCTTCCAAAGTTTCGGTTCTGCTTAATCGGCACGCTTTGTCCTCAAACTGACGCCTTTCCTTGCTGTGGACCTTTTATACACGCTGTTGCCCCTTAACAACAGCCATCCAATCGAATCACATCGCGGTCCGTATGTGTTTTCGTTATGACGCGTAATTTAAGTTACGCCTATTCATTCACTCCTATTTCTTCTACTATCTAAAACCGAAAATGCGTCTTTCTAAATTCATTTGATAAATATATATTATATTCCTCTTTTTACCAAAAGAAGATTAGATCTGAGCGTGTTACATGGCAAAGCAGTATAAAAACTTTGTTCCTTCAAACACGGACTCCACAGCTGGGAAATTATCAGGTGGTTTATGGGTTTAGCATGGGGTCTTCAAGGGTAAGGTAGGATTTCGCAATGCTAATTTTCAGGTTTATTTGAAGGGGGGTCCGCGGATGCGACGTCGACACTCCCCCCCCCCCCTTTGGCGTGGGGTTCGGGGCCCGGGGCCCCTAAAATTTTGGTATTTTTGATCATTTTAGAGGGTGAACGGTGCCATTTGGTACGGTTCAGAACTATGATTCAGCTAGTCAAAGTCTTATTTCAAGAGAGGACCATTTGTGTTTTTTTTTTTCAGAAATCGAAGGGGGGGGGGGGTCAGGACCCCCCTTTCCCCCCCCCCCCCCCTCCAATCCGCCACAGATTTTTGATGTGGTTTGTTTTCCCTAAAATATTCCGAAGAAAACGTTGCTGACAGTTCCTGAATGCGGTTGAAATGGTTGAAATTTGCGACAGACTTGTAATAGGAAAAAACTTCACCCTCGTTTTTCTTTGGGCCTTTTTCGAAGGAACAGTTGCTACAAGTAAACCTGTCAGTTTGTTTGTTGAAACTTCCCATTTTCCATTCATTTAATAATCTATTGCACGAATCTGTCGAATTTAATGATATGCAAATACATCCACCAGTTTTATGTTTTATTGCTTCAGTCAATGTAATGAGATTAACTTATCTTTGACTGCACAGGGTTCGGGCCAACTTTTTTGTGTCGAGTTTAAGCTAACTTCGTGATTAATAATTGCATGTATCGTGTGCCTTGATAATAACACATTTTATAACATTTTAACTCCATTAGTTACATATGATCGTGAAATTCACATTACGCAAGGAAGCTTAATGCCTCTCCTTGGCTTTTTCATTTTTTTTAAGTTTCTACAAACGTGTCCGTATATTATCTGGACTTAAGACCAATGATTACCACCCCATGCTCTAGACAAATGGATGGACTTCAAACTGTTTATGAAGAGTAACTTTTTTGTGATACCATTGTTTGTCCTATCCCATTAATTGTGGATATTTGTCTAATAAATTGAATTAATCATACAAATCTGCGACATTACGTTTCTTTACAAGTATATTAAATAAACTTAATTTGCAGGACTATATCAAATAACTTATCCAAGTTTAGCTCGGAGAGAGATATAGGGGGAGGCTACGTGATGGCACGTGCACGTGCAGGAATCCTACCCTCTACCAGGGCGACATATTGATTTTACACAGATATTCACAGATATGTCTCTAGATAGACTGACAACAGACTAAAATGACCGTCTATCTAAAGACATTTCTGTGAATATCTGTGGAAAATCAATCTGTCGCCCTGGTAGAGGGTACAGGAATCCAGCCTTGTGTGTTTGATGATAGTCCGATGTCTGGCACGTTCCCTGAATAGGGTGCCGCTTTTAAAGATTTCGTCCAACCAAGGAGTTTTTAGCCCCCCCCCCCCCCCCATGTCCTTTTATCTTATATCTTTAGTTGTAGCTAGGGGGTGAATACATACTAAAACTAACAATACAGTCATATCCATGCTTTTTGTAAGTTAGGCATTTAACGTGTGTTAAATATCTTTCACTTTGTCCTTTCACTATTTTAGTGACGCATTAACCTCATTGCTATTCTTAGAAGAAGTTTCACGTTAACAAGAAATCGTAATTTATATTGATAAGATGTTTTTTCAAGATTAAATCTGAACTTTGACAAAACTGGGGTAAACCGGATATTAAGCAAACAGAAAGTAAACATTACACCACTTTATGAATAAGTGAGAAACTAGTAAAGACTGTGACCTTTATCTCTGACCAGGGTCGGATCCAGGATCATTTGAAGCAGGTGGGTCCACGGACGCGAAGCCGACCCTCCGCCCCCTTTGCGTGGGGTTCGGGGCCGCTTAAGGGCCCCGAAATAAATTGGTATTTTAGAGGGCGAACGGTGCTATTTGGTACGGTTTAGAACTACAGTATGATTCAGCTAGTCAAAATTATAATTTCAAGCGGGGACCATTGGTGTGATTTTTTTTAGAAATCGAAGGGACCCCTTGACTCCACCCCCCCCCCATCTAAATCCGCCACTGTCTGACTAATTCCGTAGTTGTCATACATGACAAAAGTGTTCTTGTTACACCAGTAGTCATGTAGGCCTCATAGATCTGTGTTGCTATTGTAACGGATTTTATTTAAGTCCAGTTTACAGTAATTAAATAAGGATCTGTCATTGTTTTAAAGGTTCCGATCAAATAAGAAACGAGCAACATAAAGAGTAAAGTTTATTAAAGTCCATCAAAACAAAATGTTCCAGTAAGTAAAAGTCCTGTGTGTGCATTAATGTCCAAAATGAAACATCCGTTCCGAGTACTGGAATCGTAGGAACACAGGTCGACACTCAACTACGGTGCGGTCTGCGACGAAGGGTTCCGACACGGCGCGAACCCTGTGCACTGTACCTGCGAGAATCTAGACGGTAGATTCCCCGAGTGCTGCCAGCCAACGGTAACCTAGGGTTCCGACACGGCGTAAACCCTGTACCGGCGTGAACAGAAACAACCAACCGCTCCAGTACCATAGAGAGTGAAACTCGCTAAATAGGAGCCTCGAGCTGAAAGCGTCTCCTGAATCCTAAGTCTTCAGCTCAGATTGAGGTGAGCCCACTGCATAACAAAAAGGCCGATGTCATTCTAACCCAGGGGGCGTGAGAGGGAGGGTATGAACGTTTCCTACCTTTCTCTGATTCCCATCGGAACTTATTGATACTGCAAATGTCCATAGAAATGGTACACTGATCATAAATATATTAAATCAATGAAGAGGCACATAAATCTCCCCCAACAATCATACCCTCTACCAGGGCGACTGATAGATTTTTACGGATATTCACAGATATGTCTCTAGCTAGATAGATTGTCATTTTAACTGACTTAGAGTTAAAATGACAATCTATCTAGCTAGAGACATATCTGTGAATATCCGTAAAAAACTATCAGTCGCCCTGGTAGAGGGTAAACATTTATCAACTTAAAACAACAGTCCACGTGGTAACTAAAATTTTCATTACACAATCTTCATGTAGGTATTGATTTAAGCTAACCGTTGAGTCAGCATTTGATGCTCATGCATGAGTACGGCCTATCCTATCTCAAAACCGTCAGAGGATTTTTATTTTCGCAACTATTTAATCTGTGTTTGATATTTTTGTGTTTAACATTGAAATGCACTCATGTACCAAATATTGAGTACCTGGAATGTTTACTCTAATTTGTTCAAAGTCTTTTTATGTATAAAACAATTTTGTTCAAGACTATGCTTAATTTTCGTCTCTATGTTTAGCTGTACTATTAATTAATGTTGAAAAAAAAGAATAAAGACGGAAATAAACTTCATGTATGGAAAAGCATAACGTTGATATCTGTATTCTTTTAAGTTTACCACTTCCTTCCTCAGTTTTGATTTTCAACTGAATTCGTCCCGTGATTGCACAGCTGATTTTTAACGCTATGATGGGTTTAGAATCCATTTTTTCTCTGTGGTTCGTTGATTTTCGGAAGCAAAAGAGTAAAATGAAAATGGTTTATATCTACTGTCAAACGTCACCTCTTACATTTTCTGTTTGAAAAAGGGTTTAAGACTAGTTTATGGTACCTTGATATTCTTTTCCTTTGGAGTTTAGGTTCAAAGATACAGTTTGCACCTTGTCATGTGCCCTCACTTTGATAAATGTTGTATTTTCAGTGGTAATAATTGAGGATAGCCCAGAGTGAAAATCAACCAAGATTTCGTGGAAAAAATAATGGCAGACTAGCAAATGACGAATAAAAACTGACAAAATTTTTAAAATGGAGGTTTTTCTGGTTGTTTTCTGAATGGCAGTCTATTGTACGACAGTGCAAATTCACCTTGAGTTCGGTTTCACTTTTGTATTGCTTTCTAAGAAGACATTCCATGTGCATGAGTTTCACCCTTGTAAAAAAAAAAGTTAACCCCGCCACACGCAGATCGTGTGTTTTCTACTTTCATATGGCGTCACTCAGTGCAAAAACCCATCTCGGTTGGTTTCCATATAAAGAGGTTCCATCTAAAGAGGTTTGTCATTTTAGGCGAGATGCCTTTCCGCTTGTTGTCATTGTGTCTGTGGTGTCACCGCTTTCCATCCAACGGAACTGAAGCAATCACTTTTTCTATTCTATTTAGAATCAAGAGCATTGGTTTGTTTACTGAAGTTTTAATTGTATCTGACAAATATATTCACAAACACTATTCGCAGCAGATAATTTCAAAGTTTGGAGTCTTGTAATGTGAAAGCATGTGTCATCGTGCGTGCAATTTAGAGATGCCTGGTACGTATTTCATGAGAACTACGTATGAAATATAACGTACAGTTCTAGACAAGCATCGTGTAACTGTAAGATTATCTTTTGTTTGCGGTAACCTATTAGTTCTCCGGTATCTTCCCCCTGACAAATACACGGCACCCGAACATACGTTATCTGAGCATGCAGTGGGAGACGCGTTGTCCGGAACCGCGCAAAATTTAGCTATAAATCAAATTTAGAAATAGGTTCGAAATACAGACACCGTTGAAGACTTTTAGTTTGGATAACGCGTAAATACCTTCCAAGTTCGTGGTCAAAAAATTGTTACGTGTAGATCGCTATGAGGAAATCCAACGCTGACAACAATAACCAGTTTCAATCATTTAATGTTCACTCGTCGCTTGCCCAGGTACATTCTGACGA